GTTAGGGCGGCTAGGAGCTGGAACCAACTTCCAAGGGAAGTGGTGCTGGCCCCTACCCTGGGGGTCTTTAAGAAGAGGCTGGATGCCTACCTGGCTGGACTCATTTGAGTCCCGTTTCTCTTTTTGGGGTTTTTTGTTGTTCTCCCGCCCTGGCGGGGGGTCGGGCTAGAAGATCTACTAGGTCCCTTCCGACCCTTAATCTATGAATCTAAGGAGAGAACTTAATGCCTGACTGCGCTGGGCTCTGTTCCGAGGCAGCCAGCCAGCCAGACGGGTTTGAGCAACCTCTGCCGGACATCGCACTGTTCGTGCTCAGGAAGGCTACATGCAGCAGAGCCCTGTTGCCTTGCATGCCCTGCACAAGGAGTGAGGGGCAGCCTGGGGAAGCGGCAGCATGTGGCACAAAGTAAACCCCACTGGGAAAGTGGAAATGAGTTGGAAAAACCCAGTAGCCCCTTGAAAGGGCTTCCTGACAGCCAATAAAAGCAGGATGCTGGGAACTGATTTTTTTTCCCTTGTTGCTCTTTGCCTCTGGAGCAGTGGTAGTTCATAAAACGGGTGATATGAAAGGCCCTTTAAGACCTGCAAGTTCAGTGCCTGGACAGGCAGCCACTTAGCACTCCTTCTGTTTGGGAACAAAGCCTACTTCTGCACCATCTGGCTTATCCCCCTTGGGGACTCGGGGTTCTTCCAGTTTCCTCTCTCCAAGAAGAGCTGGTGCCAGGAAGGTAAGGCCACACGGCCTACATGTTTCTCAGTTGTAGAGGACCGCTGTTTTGGAGACATCTCTCCGTTTTGCAAATCACACAGCTGGAAGACTTCAGAAAAGACCGAAGAAGAAAGTGGCTTGAATTGGGAGACTCGGCAGGTTCCCCTCTGCCTGTGATGAGGGGCCAAGTAATGATGGATTACAACTGGCTTTCTGTATTGGTTAGCAGGTTGTCATTGAGATTAAAGTGCAGCTTGTTACAGCATTGGAATAAATGTATGCAGTATTACCTGCTAATCATTTCAGGGCAATTGCCAAGGGTCCTTGACTATTGTGAATCTTAGAAGGGTAATGTTCTGAATTTCATTAAACATTTTGAGTCTAATCACCATGGCTTGTTTGACAGACATGCCCGTTCCCTTTGCAAATGCTGCATTTGTACAAGGCGAGATGCATAGTGCTTCCTGAAAATGGCTGTTTATCTTGGGGCTTTGCCTCATTCTTCTAGTTGTGTGAGAACAGTTGCGTTATCAGCAAGCCAGGAATTGCTGCTGTCTGGGTATCCAGGGGGAGAGCTTCTCACCAAGGAACTACTGGAGCGGGGACTCTGCATGGATAATGCAATACAGTCAAGACTATTTTTTACTTAAATGGAGACCGTCTTGCTCTGTGACTGTGCAATTACGGTTATCAGAGCTGACTTGCCTGAGTGTCTGTGTGTTGATATGCAAATACCTCCTGTGCACTAGCGATGAACAAAAGAGACTTTCCACAAGAAATCAAAAAGTGTTTACATTCAAGGCTGTTACTCAGAACTGCTGAATGTGACCATCTCAGTAAACGTGGCCAGCAACTGCATGTGCTGCTACAGCAAATTCTTTGCACCAGGCTATCCCCAGGAAGCCAAATGCAGCATCTGAGCTGTGGAACGTGGCTAGTTTTTGTGGCCAGACCCCTCCTTGCTCAGGTGCAGGAAAGGAAAAGGGAAGGATATGAACTGCTACACATGTGCCAGGTAGCTGGGGTGCCAGGTGGGGCAGCCTGGTTGAACTGGCTCTGCCAATAGAACTAAAGCAGCTTAAGCCCCCATGTATGAGTGCAGGTTTATTCATATAAAACAAGTCTAGCTCATTTTGCATCCCCAGCTTGAAATAAGCCAAGCTGCTCTAAGGCATGTGGATCAGGGCAAAGCAGCATCTGCCTTTGAACTCCTGCTGGCATTGTGGCTACTAAAAGGCCACCCTCTTCACTCACCATGTGGCTGCTATAACTCGTGCTGTGCAAACCAAGCCCAGGAGGTCAGAGCTGAGAGCAGAACTGGGGTTGCAGGCAGGCATGTGGTTTCTTTCAAGCAGCTGATCACAGGCAGCTGAGTGGCTTTGGGGTACATCCCACTGGCAAAATGCATGTCTTGCTCTATGTGCCCATGTCTTTTGGTCTTTGTTTTAGGGGCGGCGATGTGTTCTGAAAGACTGCTGCAAAATCCTAGACAACACTGTGCTACCCCCTGAGACGGTGGTGCCACCTTTCACGGTCTTCTCAGGCTGCCCAGGTACGCTCCACTTCATGTTATTTTGCCAATACAATTAGCTGGTTTATATGCTGACTTCAAGGCGCAGATTGGCATGGAGAAGGCTGCTGTTTGCACTGCACTCCAACATTTTAAGGAGCAGCCCTGGCTCCTGTGGCTTGCTGCCTCAGGTACCACTGGGACTTGTAGTTTGGTTTGGGGGAACAACTGAACTGATGTGTGTGCAGTGCTCTCGGTCTGTGTCTGCTGGGACTGTTCTGCCGCATGGGATCCCTTTCAGTTGGGCTGTTCAGCATCCTGGACTCGGCAGGCAGCTGTGCCCTGGCACATAGAGCACTCTCGTCTCCAGTGTACTCTGGATTTTTAGAGCTGCAAGGAGGGTTGCTAGGTTGCTGGGCGCGGGCTGCATAGTTGGTGCACAGCCATTCCTGTCAGGGTGAGCCTGTGGACTTGGAAGGGGAGTGGGACTTGCCGCTCAGGGCACTTGCAAGCCATCTGATAGAGCCGTTGGTCTTCCAGGGTTAGATGGACCAGCAGTTCATCAGGGTTGGAGTGTTGGTCTAATCCTGAGTGAAAGAAGGGTTTGCTTTGCTTATGCTGCCTCAGGAGCACAAAGGCACAGCGGCTACTGCCTGTGTTTACCCTGGTACCGTGTCCTTCTGTCTACACCCTAAGTCTGCATGGTCTAGAGCTGCTCATCTGTGCTGCAGGAGGTCTCCATAAACCAGTTGCACTTGTGCCTGGCCTCTCCAGCAGTGCTGTGATACTGCAACTTCTGTTCCCTTGTCAGCTTTCTCCTGAGGGAGGGAGAGCAACCGAGACCCCTGCTTCTCTGGGCTAAGTGCCTGCTGTTACAGGCCCTAGCTGGGGGTGACGGCCTGACACCCATCTAACAATATGGGAGGGGAATCTGTGCCACCGAACTGATTTACGTGAGTGAGAATTCCCCATCAGCTCATTCAGTTTTGCTGTTGACCTTGCAAGTAGATGCTAGCAGAGCAGCGAGTGGAACGCTGCATGACACCTCCATCTCAGCGCCTTCCGCAAGAACCCTCATCCTTTCACTCTGCTTGGTTTTTCAGGGCTCTTCTCTGGAGAACTCCCAGAATGCACCCAGGAGCTCATGATTGATGTTACAAAGAGCTATTACCAGAAGTTCTTGCCACTTACTCAGGTCTAGTAGCCTATTTACCACATTTCCCAGCAGTAAAAACCCTAGAGAGCACTTAGGGGGACGGAAGAGATGGTGTTCAGTGAGCCAAAGGCAGAACCTCTGCTATTGAGAACAGGGCTACAGGCCTAGCAAGCAGTCCCTTGTGAAAAGTCGCTGTGTCACGTTGTCTAAACTTTGTGTGTTCATTCAAATGTATTCATTCCACACTGTCCAAATGGTGCCATTAAATGTTCTGGGACTTGGGGGGCTGTTACAGCTCCCTGCAGATCAGCACAGCCTGCTGTAGTGAAGCAGCGAGGTAAAAATAACTTCCAGCCAAAGCAAATTGTGCACGTCTGTTTTCAGTCCACAAGCCCGTGGGCATGTCCACGTGGCAGCTAGAAACAACCTCCGTCCTAGAGCTGAAGTGCCACATGGCCAGTTAGAGGGGACTCTGCCCCCAGGGCAGTGTTACTAAGCTGCTAACATGTAGTTTGAAGTGGATGCCCTCCTCTCTCATCTCCCTGTTGACCCACTGTTCTTCCTGTCTCTTCTTCACTAGGAGTAGGATATCCTTTACCTCCTTTAGATGGCTTCAGAGCTTTCTGTAGACTTGCTTCCCTGTTTCCTTCCCCCATGGGCCCGTGGGCAGAGACTGCCTGAAGGGGCACTTGTCACCTCTTATTCTGTGTATAGATGTCTTCCTCATATGCCATCTCCTGTGGGGCTTCTGAGGCTAGGCTAGGTTAGGTTATCTATAGCAGGCACCTGTGCTTTCACCTGAGCATCACAAGCCTTTGAAGGAGGCAGGTGGAATCATGTGGAGAGAGTGGATTAAAACCAGCAGTGGCCAAGCACACTTGTGTGCTGGCAGAGTCCACTGAAGCTTCCCCTGGTGCTCTAGAGCCCTAAAATATGTTTCAGATGCAGCTGATGCACCAAGACCTGTTCCCGTTGTGTCGGCTGTTGAGTCACCTCCCACCCAGAGGTCATGCCCCTGCCAAGAATGCGCTACCCGCTCCAAGCAGATTGCATTGAAGCTTGAGGTCCCTTCCTTACTCCGTGTCATGTTTAGAAGTGGGACTTCTGCATGTTGTGCTCTGACTGGGGAGCCGGGGTGCAGATGAGTAGCATAGCAGGCATATGGCTGACACTATCAGGGAACAGGCCTCCAGCTGTTCTCTAGCATGTAGGGCTCAGATACACATTAACTAGCTACTAGCTATACAAATACTGAAGTGTGTAGTAATGACTGTTAATCTGATGTAAAGCTGCTGTCGGCTTTGTTTGTATTTTTACTGTACATAAATTAAAAGCCTCTTACATGGGTCAAATGACTTGAAAGTTGGCACTTTCCAAATCCAAAGCCTCCGAAAGTAGAGCATGGTTCCTGTGGTGGACATGGGCATGTTTTCCCATTCTTCTTGTTCAGTGAAAGGCTTCCATGATATTTCCAAGCATTTAGCATCAGTACATAAAAAAGCAAAGCTCTTCTGTCTCCAGAAGCAGAATCCCCCGTGCCTGGCATCCAGTTGACCTACATGCTGGGTCACAGGAAAACACAATTCCAGGACTGTGGGCAGGAAACTGCTGTGCTGTGCTGTGCTGTGCTGTGCGCAAGCTCTCCTCTCCCCCACCTTTATGGGGAACGGCCACCATAAATGCCATCAGCCCTAAGTGGGTGGAGCGTGGCATTGGGCAAACAGTTGCACAAAGGCAAAAACCTGCCACCTTTGTCAGGTAGTGATTATTAATCCCCTGTCCTGGCCCAAAGAGGTGTCTTAAAGCAAATCCGAGTTCCCTGAACCACGTAGGTTTGACTTTACATTAGGGCGCAAGTGACAGGGTCGGAGTATTGGAATACATTGGCTTTTCTAGCACTATGTGTCCGTGCCAGGTCTCAAACAGACCTCAAGTCTGATGTCAGTTCTTGGTTTAAGCCTGGTTCCAGTGTGGCCATTTTAACACTCCCTCCTATGCTGGCCTCTGCTTAAGGAATCCTGTCAGACTAGGTCTGGAGTCAAAAGTAGATGAGAGCTTCAGCAGCTTTACTGTGCAATTCTCCTCTGTTCCCTGAGTGTCCTTGTGTGGGCTCAGTGTGATGGAAGTGTGCCTTGGCCAGGGCCTGCTCCTTTTTTCCCCTGAGCAGAGCTAGTACCAAGTCACAGCTGTTCCTTGCACATGTACCGAGGACACAGTGTCCTACTGCCTTTCTGCTGAAAGGATTAGTTCCTCCCCTGCTCTCTCTAATGCCCTGTCTGAGGAGACCCAGTGGCTGCAGACTGGGTTGCAGGAGGCTTCCCAAGATCACACACCTGGGCAGGTAGGCTATTGAGAGTGCCTGCCAATTAAATGTTGAGCAGCTGCAGAAGCATCTTGAGTCGCCTTGCAAAGTTGCATCTGTGCTATCAGCACTCTCCAACCCTCCGAGGTAGCTCTCCATGAGCAAGAGGCGACAGCAGGAGGGGCCCATCTGTGCTGTGTCACCATGGTGTCACTTCACTTTCAACCCCACGTAGCACCTTTCACAAGGATGGCTTAGCTAGTGACTGCATTGGAGCAACCTGGGGTCAGGGGGAGGGAGGCAGAACAAGCACAGGGTGACCCATTGGCAAGCGGGAGCTGTGGCTGTGGGGGTACCTGGGGATCACAGCCAGTAGCTGTTTCGATGAGCTACAGGGACTGCCGTGGGCACCTGAACAGAGCTGTGTGGAGCTGCAGTGTGTGGGCACAGCCGGCCAGCTGGGGCTCACACTTGCAGGGCTATTTCTGTGCTTCTCGGTACGGGCACAGAGCCAGCACACCTCTGCCTCCAGTGAAATCTGTTTTGTTGTCTTTAAGGTGGCCTCGGCCAGGGTCTGAGCCCGAGTCAGCTGCGAAGACCTCTCACCCAACACTTAAAATCCCTTAGTTTGGCCATTTTAACCTGCATCCTTCGAAGTGTGGCTGTCCCGGGCTCGTCTCCACATCTCTGCCTGCTGGCTGGGATGACAGCATGTCGCTGGGTCGCTGCCTGCCTCACCAGCCCTTGGGAAGTGGTAGTTTCCTGACATCCACATTTAGTCTCTCATGGTTCAAAGAGGTTTTGCTGCCTAGATCCGGAGCACAAGGTGGAGCTGGCTGGCTTTGAGCACGAGGAGGACTGTGCTGTGCTGGGCACGGGGTAGGGGGACTCTAGTTCCTTGAAGCCGATGAGTTTTTAAACCACAGTAAGCCCTCCTGCCCCTGTCGCTCCATGGGCTAGAACAGCCCAGCCCTGTTGCAGATGGGAGAGGGCTGCTGGCTGCATCCTGCCATGCTGGCGGGGAACCATTAACATGATAAGCAGCACTTGGGACCACAACCAAGCATGGGCTTTAGGAAGCTGCCTCTCCCAGCTGCTGTGACCAGGGTCCCCCACAGGCCCCAACGGTTGATTTCCTTTCATTTTACTAATTCCGGCTCTGTGCTGCGTGTAACTGCTGGCTGTTTGCAGGGCCACGTGGAGCACGGGAAGGGATCGGGATCCCAGGAATATTGCTGGGAGTTATCTCTGCTTTGTCAGGAGCAGAGCTCTCCAGTACAGGCCAGTGTAGCAGTTCACCACTGGTGCAATGGCAGTGCCCTGCAGGCCCTGCTGCCTGCCCCCCACCCCACCTCTTGTGTGAGCCCTGAACTTTCAAGCCCCTTCTAGAAAGATCAGCAGCTCTAGCACAAGCTATCAGCTAGCTGCGGTGTGGCTAAACTGAGCTGTGTGTCTTGGGGTAGGCTCAGCTAGCTGCATGCCCAGGTGCAGAACATGCTGGCTTGAACTGCTCTGTCCCCTTCGTGCTGCTGGGAATGAACAAGACGGGCTTAATGTGGAGAGCAAAGCCTGCAAGGCCTGTTTGTAAACTAACCTGGCAGGCAGAGCTGGTGCTGGGACCCGCCACCTCTATTTAAAGTTCATGCGGGGAGTTCCCGGGAGCAGAATTCCCAGGAAGCCAGGGGCTAGGCAGGGGCGCGGGGGTGTCACCACCTGTCCCAGCCCTGCCCAACAGGCCTGCTTCCTCGCTGTGACTGGGGAGAGAAGAGCCCCGTTCCCTTAGTATGGATGCTGGAGCACAAGTGTCCCCTTCAGCCTGCTGCAGCAAGCAGGCCTCTGGGCCTGGTACCCACAGCTACGGGGCACTAAGAAGGGCATGGTATCAGCCTCCAGCCAGGCCATGCAAAGACCAGCTGATAGGTGTTGGAAGCCACCCAGCTCAGGGCACACATGCCCGTGATGAAAGCAGAGGCTTGCTGAGTCTGCCTCCAGGATGTTCAGGCAGCGTCTATCCTCTACCCCCAACACTGGGTCAAGCAGGGCGAGACTGCATGGTGACACTGGACAGCAGAATAAAATGGGCCAGTCTGATGCACATGGTACAAAAGAACATGACTGTTAAACTGTCCTAATGGCCGGGACCCTTCCTACCCAGAGCGCCTGCAGCATCGGTTCCCATCACCGTGCTGGGTCCTGAATTAAGTGAACGACACGGAAACACCATCCATGCTCCAGTCCATGAGGGAGACCCCTGATACAACACGACGAAGCACACGTGGCCAGTGAGAGCAATGGGACCAGATCCCCATTCAGTCCACATCTGCTGCAGCACTCAGCCACAGAACACCACAAGAAACTGGGGGGTCGGGGGGGTGAATCTCCAGCATGTTGGGTGCTCTGCTGCAGCTGCCCATGGGTGCACGCTCATGCTGGGCAGAGCTGGGGTACTTATCCCTCAGCACAACATACATTTGCTGTGGGGCAAGCGTGTGCATCTGGGCAGGCCCTACGGAGCAGCTGACACACACTCTTGATGGCACACTTAGAAGGCACACTTGCTGCCCTTGCGGGGATGTGTTCACGCTTCTGTATCCAAAGGCTCTGGCTAAGATTACGTGTGGCTTTCCCAGGAGAGTCGCCCTCCAAAGGTGCAGCAGCATACGGCACTCCCCCTAGGGTAACCATTCGGCACCTACCGTCCCTGTGGATATAACCTGTCCCCCAGCTCCCAGATCAGGCGTGACACTTGTACCCAGCACCATGGGCACATCCAGTGCTGCCTCGAGCAATCCTGTATGTTCTGAGTAATGTGGCACCTGTGTTCTCACCTATGTATTCTCTTCATCCAGAGCCGTGTGCATGCCGGCAGCATTTGTGTACATGCCTGTGTGCTTTCCCAAACGTTGCCTGGAACACAAATAAACTGGTCAGATGAGAACTCCTCTGAAGGGCTGGCTGCTGTGTTCTCAGAAAACCCATCCAAGCCCCCGACACTCGCGCACAGCCATGCTCGCTCTGCCAGTGGGATCAGTGCATTTGTTCCACCAGAAGGCAGCGTAGCTTTGCACCTTGGAGACAAACCACAGTGCATGTGTATATATGCATGGGTACAGACTAACCAAAGTGTGTGCATGCATGTGTGTACATGCATGCTCCACCGGGCCTCTTGCAGCCATCACCAAGCAGGCAAGGGCCTAGATCTAGCGTATGCTGCCCTGTGCAAGCTGTTGAGACCCAGGAGAGCTCTGGTCCACAGCCCAGGCCTGATGTGAGCTCCCAGCAGGGCAGAGGCAGGTGGCAGTCCCTGCTGTGTCTTGCTGACCTCAGCCAGCTCCATTCCTTCCCTGTTTGCTGGAGGCCAAAGCAGCAGCTTCCTTCTGGGGAGGAATGGGACCCGCGTGACTTGTCTCAGGTGCCCTGGGATAGCATGAGCTGCTGGGCCTGTGCTTCCTTCCTGAAATGGCCGTAGCCCAGACTGGCCTGCATCTGAGGCCAGTCAACAGGTTTGGGAGATGTTCAGCCACAGCAGAAGGACACAAAGAGGGGCGCTTTGTGCCCGAAAGCTTGGGGAGCTTCTCCCCAGCTGTAGCACAGCATCCGATGCAGCAAGACGGCTGTCTATGAAAGCTCACCCCTCTCTGAATGAGTTAGAGTCCCAGGTACCACCGTGCCCTACCTTCTGCCTGACTTCAGACTCTCCCAACCCCACTGTAAGTCCAGTGAAAGCGATCCCAAAGCCCTGGCCTCTGGACTGCCACAGCTGCTCCTCTCCAGCCCCACGGAGCCAGCCAGTCATTCCCATCCAGGCTGCCCTGCAAATAGGAAATGCAGAGGAGCGGGAGGGCAGACACCTGGGGGAGCACAGTCGCCTGATCTGGGCAGATTCTGCCCGTCATAGCCCTGGCATTTGCCTGTACTGGGGGGTTGTGCACACGCAGCAGGGTGCTCCACCTGGGAACGGGAGTGTCCAGTGGGGAGGGAGCTGGGTGCCAGACCTCTGTCAGTAGGTCACTAAGCTCGTTAGGAGATTTTGCTCCTCGGCTGCCAGGCTGGTGCCCCCACTGCTGCGGTGGGGAATGGAGAGCACAGGCTGTGAGGGGAGTTCCCATCCAGCACAGGGCAGCAGGATCCCATAACGATGCCTTCACGCTCTGTGCCCACTGTTCCCATGTGACCTCCCTTTGTGCTTTGTCCCGGGGCTGCCATGCGGTGCCGAAGCCAGGCCGCTGCATTCATGCGAGCACTGCTTGCTTCTCACGCCCCGAGAGCGCCCGCAGAGGTAAACAGTGCTCAGCCACCAATCACACACCCTCCGGCTCCAGGGAGCCGGATAAGACAGGACATGTGGGCGAAGGGCAGGGATGTCCATGCCCAGGGCAAATGCAGAAGGGTTTCTTTGTTGGTCTCCCTGGCTGCAGGACTTTCACAGTCCCTGCAGCTGTGCCCGGTGTTGGTGTCCCCAGTGCAGGGGCCAGCATCCTTCCCCGCCATGGGAGCATGCTAGCGGCAGCTTCTCACCCGTGTTCCCACCAGTGCTGCCCAATGGCGCTGGGCTCCGATGCACCCAGGCAGGCCTGGTGCTGTCACGGGGCCACAACACGCTCCTCCTTGGGCCCCATGTCATGAGGAAGCAGAAGGCTCGGCCAGGCCTGGCTGCTCTGCAGGGTCTGGTCTCACGTTATCGGCAACAGGGTGCCTGGCCCATCCAGGAGAGACCCATTCGCCCCTTGTTGCTCCAGCCCAGCCTGTGGCAGATGCAGCCTCATGGACGTGGCTCCCCACAAGAGCCAGCCTCCCGACAGGAGGGAGCAGGGGGAGCTCCGGAGACAAGCACCCAACACACACTCAGCAGACACATTCCTCCAATCTGGACACGCCGAGTGTGCATCCCCTTCCCTGCTGGAGCCGTCCATCCCTGGGGCTCGGGGCCAGGACTCCCACTGCACATGCTCCGGGACAGGGCAGCGAACCCACCTGCATGGCAGACAATTCCTCCCTTGCTTTGCAGTGCTGCCGTCAGGATGCCTGACTGCCCCTTGGGCTGTCACTAGACACATTGGCCTGGGCTTGTTTCCGTGAAGTGGAGGTCTCTGAGCTTTCTGTGCCTATCTGGGGTCTGGCCCCTGAGTCATGTCAGCTCTGGGAGTGATGTCTGCTGCCAGACTATCAAGTTTCTGAGTAATGATGACTATGTTTCCGCTCTGTGATGCATTTGTTTTGACTTCAACAGAAAGGCCCCTGGATGAAGCACCTAAACATTTCCAGTATGATAACTTCTGCCCTCATTATTCAATGTGTCAATATTGGTGCGATATTAGAAGCTGAAATTAAACCCTGTTGGGTTCATGTATTTGCACTGCATGGTCCTTTCTGCATTTGCTTTTCGGGGGCAGAAAGGCACAAAGTTGGCAGGAAAAACAAGTTGGGAGGAGCCCGGAGTTGTGGGAACACCGGGGAGATGCCAACGGGATGGAGGCTGCCCTGGGCAGAGGCAGCAAACGGGGCACGACCGTCTTGCCTGCCCTGTCCCTGGCTCTGTCTGTGCGGTGCAGCCCTGGCACCAATCACCGAGAGGTTGTGGAGCCTCTTGGACAGGAGGTTTTCCAGAGCAGGTTGCACACACGCAGGGCTGGGGCAGTTTAGACAGGGCTGGTGCTGTCTGGAGCAGGACTCGGGGGTGGCCCCGCTGCCTCTGCGGGACAGCCTCTGAGGAAAGGCCCTGTCCCAAGTCCGGGGCCCTACGTGTGCCCCATGCTCCAGCTCCAAGTGGCGCTGTCTCCCTCCCGGACAGCCTCCATGAACCCCTGCCCAGAAACCAAAGCTGCAAGGTCTCCTCAGGCCTCCTAAGCTGCTCAGGAGGAACTGAGGTCTCCAACACCAGCTGGGAGCAGAGGAGAGACATTAACATGCATGCGCCTCCTTTACCAAAAATAATCCGGCTTGCCCTGGGCACATCACGGACGCAGCAGCCGCTCATCCACGAGACATTCACCTCATCAGGGCTCAGCATCTCCTGTGGGTGCCTGAGCAGGACAGGAGGCACCCCTGGGCAGCCCGCAGGGGGTCAGACACATCCCTCCCTAAAGCACCCTGCACTGCCAGGCGCTGCAGCTCCTGGCATGTGGGGCCCGGCGTTCAGAGTTGAACCAGGGCTGCAGCACGAGTCGTTGCCGACATGGCCTCTGATGCTCTGTGAAGCGCTGGCTGGTACCGGGGGGGTTTAGCTACATCACGCTCCAGGCAGACGGCTCAGGCTCAGTGCTGGGGGGTGGGAAGAGGCAGAACAGAGACAGGTGAAACCCGAGCTCCGGTGGGAATCCATATGGATGGGGCAGCCCCTGCCTGGGGGATTATCTGTACCTGCGGGAAGGACACAGGAGCCACCTGCATGTTCCCAGGGCCTCAGCTCCTTCCTGGCAGAGATGGGCTGCAGGGAGTCAGCCGGGAGCGGCAGCTGAAGCAGGGGAAGAAAGATGCAGTCCAGGCAGCGCTGCGTGTTTTCTTAAACACGCCTGTTCCTTCTGCGAGGGGGCACCCAGCACAGACCGCTTATCTACAGACCATCACTCCTTTCCCATGGCCAGACATCAAAGCAATGGACAGGCCTCAGCTCTTCCTCTTACAAACACTGGTGGGTAGCAGCACTGCAGCCGTTTGGGGGAATTTTGGGTGCCATGGGAGTGCGTCAAAAGCCACTTCACGGCAAACAGAGGGAGAAACAGCACGACCTGCACAGCAGGACATGTCAGAGCAAACTGCAGGGCACATGCAGATGCCCTCACCAGGGCCTGCGTTGGGCAAGACGGCTCTCCTTTGAAGTTGAACTTGGCAAAACTGGGAAGGGCAGGGTCCAGCCCCAAAGGGATCACTCTTGCTCCGTGCTGGGGAGCAGCAGAGGGACGAGGAAGGCGTAGGGGCACCTCTCCCTTGTCTCAGGCTCCTTTAATCCATCTCTAAGACCTCCGCAATGAGCTCTGCTGGGAGTTGCATGGGCAACAGCAGGGCAGCAAACAAGCTGCTGTTTTAATTGCCCGCAGTAAAAACACTGGTGAAAATGACCATGAATGCCCATATTGTGAAATGCCGCATGC